TTTCATTTGCTGCCATCTATTTTATATTGTGATATATCTTCAGTGTGGCATCCTGTGAATACAGGAAAACTAGGACATGTTGGCAGCAAACACTGTGTAGGATGAAGTTGCTGTTAACCTTGAGTTCAGTTTGTTGTGTGACTTAAAATGGATTAGGAGTCTGTTCTGGTCCTTTAGAATTGCATTATTTATATAGAAGTATATTATTTTTGTATATTTAAATATGTATTATTTATATTGAACATACATAGTGTATTCAATTTAATAAATTTTGAGAAAATACTTGGGATTCAATGACATTCTGTGACTTCTCAAAATTAAGGCTGAAACACGCATCACTGTTCCCTGCATTATTTAAGAAAATGTAACTTTTTCCTTTGTTATATAGGTGAGATAATAATGTTCAAATAATTGAGAACTTGTAGGCTTTGCATATAGAGTATTCTTAATTTGGAGATTTAAGACCATATTGTTTCATTAATTTAAAGTGAAGCTATAGACACACATATATCACCGTAGCTTTGTGCGGGGAAAAAAAAGGGGGAACATGTCTTAATACTATAAATCTTAGAAAAAATAAGTGAACAGTACAAAATACACAGTAATCTTAACAATCTGAGAAATGGTGTTTGATCATATGTGAATTAAGATTATTTTCTTTAAAATACTTATTATTCACCCAAAACCTTTAGGCTTGCTGACGTCTTGCAGAACTAAAATAAGTAGCTTGAGAAGTCAGTTAAAGAATTTGAGGTCAAACTCTTCCGATCTTTTGGAATATATTTTATGCTCCAAACTTTGAGTTAGTCTTTATTACTCTGCATTTCATCTTTTAGAAGTATATCTTTATGTCCTGTAAAAGGATTTTCTGTCTGCTTGCACAGTTGTGTTGCTGGATATCACTGCTAGGTTAAGTGAGATATTTGGATTTGTTCTTTACAGGGGAGGGGATGGAGGAGACTTGCAAAGGATGCAGGTGGTTTCAGGGTCTGCTTTGCCTCCAGAAGGTGGGTTGATTTTTCACTCCTCAGCACTGCCAGACAGAAGGCTGTTGACTTTGTCTCTAGGCAGATACTTGCAGTTGTGTAGGTTCTGCTGGGTGCAGATGGATGTGCCCAGCACGGCCTTTGCTGCTGTGTCACTGCTGACCTGAGGACACTTCCTGACTGCTCCTGTAAAGCGGGACCCCCACACGGCCCCCTCTGTCATTAGTGGGCTTTTCCTCAGGCTTCTACCAATTGACACAAACTGTTCCAGGTGACCTTGTGTCCACTGTTGGGTCATTGCCTTAAAAAGCACTTTCACTGTAATGTTGTGCTTGGCAGGGAGTTTCTGAGTATTCCATTAAATAATCTGTAACATTAAAGAACTTAAATGCAAATGATCCCCTCCACTGCAGGAGTGCAGACTCAGTGCTCCCAGTTCTTTAGTGTGGTGAGCTGAGGGCACAAGCAGCTGTTCACTGCACTCTCTTGCCTGCTGCTAAGCTTGAACTGAGCTGGGCCCTTTCCCACATGCTTTAGCATGCAGGTATGTTAATTGAATGCATATAAAACAAGCATTTTTCCTCTGTATACAAGATGAGCTCAGCTGTATCTTAAGGACTCAACCTGTTACTCAGCCTTTCTTACACCTGGAATTCCCAGAAATTCTCAAATTTCTGTCTCATGCATTTATTTTACTTTTCTATTTCTTGATTTTATGGAGTTTTATAGGTAATATTCTTGCCCTTCACATTCACAGCGTTTATTTGATTAAAAAAAAAAAAGTTTTTCTTTTCTCACACTTTTTTACCTCTGTCTTTATTCCAAGGTCCTCCAACCTCTTACATTTATATGGGAAAACATTACCTGTTTCAGTGCTAGCATATCACTGTGTTTTGCTCAACTGGTCACTTTGTGTGTTTTCATTGATGTTCCTGAGGTGAACGTAGGAGAGCTGGTAGGTCCTGCTTGTGCCTAAACCCAGAGCTTGCCCTTCCCACCTAACCACTCTGGCAGCACACCCAGTCTTGTACCCCTTCTGAACAGGAATTAGCTGTTCTCAGAAGAGTACTTTGACCCAGCTGAATTATCTTTAAACAACAACCTACTGTAGAAAGTAGGTGGAAAGGCCTAGGAATACTCCCCAAAATTTCTGGGCATTGCTCCCTGCACTGGGCATTGCTCTCTGCACTGGACATTGCTCACTGCACTGGGCATTGCTCTCTGCACTGGGCACTGCTCCCTGCACTGGGCATTGCTCCCTGCACTGGGCATTGCTCTCTGCACTGGGCATTGCTCCCTGCACTGGGCATTGCTCCCTGCACTGGGCATTGCTCCCTGCACTGGGCATTGCTCTCTGCACTGGGCATTGCTCCCTGCACTGGGCATTGCTCCCTGCACTGGGCATTGGTCACTGCACTGGGCATTGCTCCCTGCACTGGGCATTGCTCCCTGCACTGGGCATTGCTCTCTGCACTGGGCATTGCTCACTGCACTGGCAGGCAGGAGACCCTGCTGGAATCAGTGCAGGCAGGGCATTGCTCCCTGCACTGGGCATTGCTCCCTGCACTGGGCATTGCTCACTGCACTGGGCATTGCTCCCTGCACTGGACATTGTTCACTGCTCTGGGCATTGCTCCCTGCACTGGACATTGTTCACTGCTCTGGGCATTGCTCTCTGCACTGGGCATTGCTCTCTGCACTGGGCATTACTCACTGCACTGGGCATTGCTCTCTGCACTGGGCATTACTCACTGCACTGGGCATTGCTCCCTGCACTGGGCATTGCTCTCTGCACTGGGCATTGCTCACTGCACTGGACATTGCTCTCTGCACTGGGCATTGCTCTCTGCACTGGGCATTGCTCTCTGCACTGGGCATTGCTCCCTGCACTGGGCATTGCTCACTGCACTGGGCATTGCTCCCTGCACTGGGCATTGCTCACTGCACTGGGCATTGCTCCCTGCACTGGGCATTGCTCTCTGCACTGGGCATTGCTCACTGCACTGCAGGCAGACTCCTGCCTGCAGCAGAAATAAAGGGACACAGTGGGGGGTTTTCACACACATGCCCTCTCTCGTTTCAAAGAACAGGGCAGTTCTAAAAGGGTCGTTAGGCAGAAAGCTGGGAGTGTCTGATGACAGTGCTGCAAGGGTCAAACCCCCAAAGTACTGGTTCTTCAGGCAAAACATGCACAGCGACACTGGCACCATCACCGGGGTGAGAACAAGAGATTTGGACTCACAGTTGGATGAATTTATTCTGCATGCTAAAAGGTACTTTGAGCCTGCAATTTAGCAGGCTCTTACACTGTTCTGCAGTGGTGTAAAGTGTTATTGTGCTGATTTGGACTGAAGAGTATGGATAAAATTAAAGCAGGTTTGTATTTGCTTCCTGCAGTGCTCAAAGTCTGGAGTAACTTACACATGTATATGAAAAAATATTAAATTATTATATAAGTAATAGATTGTACAACAAATATAACCAGGTGTAGGTAATGGGAAATTCTGTGTGAGTTTTGGGCTGGAATTTGTATGCATTGAAAACAACCCTTGATAGCTGTCTGGAAATCTCAGCTTTCAGAGAGTCTGCTGTCCTGCTGCTTTGCTCAGTTGCTTTCAGAATAACAACCCAGGGTTCCAGTGGTGGTTTGGCACATCCTATCTCAGGGTGGGGTAAGGAACTTGTTTAAATAAAGCAGTACTTTCAACACAAAAAAAGGTAATATTTTAGTGTGATGTGCAAAACTGATGAATGAGATTCTGTAAGTCCAATACTTCCCCCCCCCGGCAAATATACCACTACTTTTGTAAAGGCCAAGAAATTAATGAATGATTTTATTCTTCCCCTTTGCAGCCTGCACAGGGTAATTATGTATTATTAATAATGCAGCAGTACAAATGATATTAAATGAACTACATTTGTTAACGTAGAGCTTATCCCACTGCTTTTTTCCATCAGCGGACTGTTTCTCATCAGCGGGTACTAATTAGCTTTAATACATAGAAAGATGGGACAGAAATCCAATCAGATAAATAGGATAGATTTGGAAAAACTCAGGAAGGAAGAATACCATTTAAGACTGTGAATGTATTATTAAGAGGAAAGATGAGAATGGATGCTATTTTGCTTTTTCATATGTTTTGTGATCATCTTAAAACTAGAAAGTATCAACTCTTGTTCTACCAGGTCTGTAAAGACTCACAGGATATTTGTCAAAGCTGTAATGTTGTTTTCTTTTGCAGTTGTAGAAGTGCATGTAAAAGCTTTCAGAGTCTTTGCTGTGCTTGCTGTTGTATTTATCCAAGCTACTGTGCTGATGAAAATTAGTGATTGTCTATTGCTGCTGGAATTTTTTTAAAATCCCTCACCTCCTGGTAGAGTTTTCTCTCTCTCTGTGTTTCAATAATAATCTGTTAATTTTTACCACTATATTGCAGTACATTTCAGTGTAGTTATGCCATAAATACACATGCATAATGTATAAATGTAAAGGGTTTGAACTGGCTGCCTATAAATCAATGAAAGACTATTGTAGACTTCAGAGTGTAGCATGAGACCAAATAATCATTCTTATAATTTCTGTACTGTTGAGATGCAGTCCAGATCGAAATGAAACCAACATAATTGCATTTGAAAGTAAGTGGTTGCACCTGTGTTCACAGGACAGAAATTAAATTAATCTCATCCATTAATAGCTTTACTACACATTTACATTGTACTTCCTATTAGTGGAGTTCAGTGGTTCCTGAATTCTGGGGGATGGATTATGATCATCCCCCTGCACAGTTCTTGTTTCTTGGCCACTTGTAGCACAGTGAAACTGCAAACTTCTTTCAAACCCCGTGGAGCAAACGTGGAGGTTTGTAAAGCAGCAGGCACTGTATAAAATCCTCTGCCAAGCTGGACTGCCTCTTGCATTTTTGAAGATAATCAGTTATATGGCTTTATATTCCCTCTGCATTGATGGAATTTGCTGCTTTTCCTTAAAGACTCCCCCCTTTCCCCACCCGATCATCAGTCACCCCAAACACACTGGCTTGTAGGGGTGAGGGATGGTTGTAGGGGTGAGGGGTGGTTGTAGGGGTGAGGGATGATGGTAGAGGTTGAGGGATGATGGTAGACGTGAGGGATGGTTGTAGGGGTGAGGGATGGTTGTAGGGGTGAGGGGTGGTTGTAGGGGTGAGGGATGATGGTAGAGGTTGAGGGATGATGGTAGACGTGAGGGATGATGGTAGACGTGAGGGATGGTTGTAGGGGTGAGGGATGATGGTTGTAGGGGTGAGGGATGATGGTGTAGGGGTGAGGGATGATGGTGTAGGGGTGAGGGGTGGTGGTAGGGATGAGGGATGGTGGTAGGGCTGAGGGGTGGTGGTAAGGGTAAGGGGTGGTTGTAGGGGTGAGGGGTGGTGGTAAGGGTGAGGGATGGTTGTAGGGGTGAGGGATGGTGGTAGGGATGAGGGGTGGTGGTAAGGGTGAGGGATGGTTGTAGGGGCAAGGGGTGGTGGTAGGGGTGAGGCATGGTTGTAGGGGCGAGGGGTGGTGGTAAGGGTGAGGGATGGTTGTAGGGGCAAGGGGTGCAGCCAGGCCCTGGGGTGCCCCCCCAGGAGCCCTGGGGGCCGGGGTGACTGGTGGCAGCCGTTGGTGGGGATGTGCCATGACAGGCAGCAGCCTCAGGAAACAGAAAACTGTACTGCTTAAAACTCTGCACAGAAATACAGAGAGAGATTCAGAACTATTTACATTTTAATACAACTATTTCGTGTAATTAAAGTAAACAGATAAACAGATCAATATGTTGAAACAGATGTATAAATATATAGATAGACATATTGCCCAGAAACCTCAATATTTCATCCAAATGAAATACTCTATTCCAAATATGCCCTGTAGGAGTTTTGCTCAAGGCTATGCTTAGGTATAGTCAAAAATTCCCGATAGCTAGTCACGAGGGAAAATATGTTCTCTTACAGATAATTGCTACTGGCAGCTAGAGACCTAGAGAATTTGATGTGCAATAATGTGACCTGACTACGTATTAAACTTTTTTGAAGGACATGCGTAGAGAAATTTTATATGCTTCTCACACACTGGGGGTTTTTTGGATTTCACTTGTGTTAGCACATTTTTAACAACTGTCCTATGTTTAATATCTGTTACATTTCATCCTAATAGTTCTCAGCCATAAAAGATCCTAGTATTATGTGTTGGTGTTTTCTCCAAAACAAATGAGCTTAGAATGCAGGGTGGAGAGGAGATGGGAAGGAGAATAAAGCCCAGGTGACTTGTAAGGAATATGTAAACAAAGCAGAGTTGCATTATTGATGATAGAACTGAGGAAAACAAAAGCAGTAAATATTTTTTCTTCAAAAATGCATGAGATTAACTATTCAAGTGCTGCTCGTTTCCCTGAATTCAGTTGGAATATTATCATGTAAGCATTATATATATTATATTAAAAAGAGTCAGTTAAACCAAAATGTCAGAATTGCTTACTATTAGACTTATCTTTTCCCTTAGTGCTGGTTTTTAATATTTGTTTCCCAGAATTTGGGGTTATCACTAAGCAGTCTTGTATATCTTGAATTTTCATAAACTGCCAGGAACTGAAAATGAACTTCTAAAAGATACAAAATGACACAGCTTCAATAAATATCTTTATATACCTTATAAAAATTCTTAATATAATCTTGCTTTGTTGTTGGCAAATGTTAATAGGTAATAAATATATATATGTTGTTTTTCACTGTCTGAAGATAAAAGGCTGAAGTAACTGTGTCTCTGCCTTATAAACTCCTTTTATTTCTCTTACTTGTTTTAAACCCCATCAGATTCGAAATTTAGATCTATAGTTAATAAAAGTCACTGAAATTTTCATTTTATCTTTATAATTTTCATTATTATTTGTTGAACACTATATATGAATATAGGCAGCAACACATGTTGTTTCCATGTAAGTTGGCATAATATTTTAATGCAAGACAGAAGTTTAAATAAAATATCGGTTGACATTGCTAATATAAAAGATTTCTGACTTATTCTTGTAAAAAAAATCATGAGTTTACAATAATTTAAATTCTAATATCTGATATTTGTGGAAAGTAGTAGAATGTAGACTATATGAACTGATTAGACAAGTGAATTGCACTACTGTTCCTTTGAACTCTTTGAGCTGGGCCATTTCACAGGGCTGCCTTAACCTTCCTTTGGTGCATCTCAGTTTTATGGAGATGAGGTACAGATGGTTTGCTGGGATTCAGCAAGTCTTTAGTGTTGCTCCTACTTCTGAAGGTCCTGCTTTGCATTGCTGCCATGCAGCATTTGATAAATAAGGTTATCATGAGGAATTACAGAGCTGTTTTGTCAGGAAGGAAATCCCATGGCTCGGTTGTCCACAGGGTGTCTGTAACTCAGCTGTTTGACTGCTCCTGATATGCTGCAAACCTGATCTCTCTGCCTGTCTGGGGACATTTGCATTCAAAGTTCCATTTTAGCTGTGATAGAAGCATTTTTGTGCTCCTTCAGTTCCACCAGAAAGTGTCTCCTCCTGTGTCGGTGGGGTGACAAACACGGCGGGAGGGTGCTGCGGTTCCAGTTTCTGTGTGCTGGAGGTGATCTGCTCCCCCTTGCTGTGTGATGCGAGGTAGACAGGTGGCATCAGGCAGTTACCAAATGAAGGATGAAGGCACAGCAGCAGGGGTGCTGGATTCTGCTGCAGCAGGGTGAGGCCTGAGGCAGGGCAGCAGGGCTGAGTGCTGCAGGAACAGCAGCACTGTCAGCAGGGCACGCTGCACACACCGGGCAGGTCCAGGGCAGTTGGCACCCGGGGCTGGCTGCTGGGCCCAGAGCTCCCCAGCAGTGGGAAAGGGTAATGCCTGCTACCATCCTGCTCAGGTCCAGGGCAGTTGGCACTCAGGGCTGGCTGCTGGACCCAGAGCTCCCCAGCAACAGGAGAGGGTAATGCCTGCTGCCAAATCCTGCTCAGGTCCAGGGCAGTTGGCACCCAGGGCTGGCTGCTGGACCCAGAGCTCCCCAGCAACGGCAGAGGGTAATGCCTGCTGCCCTGGGTAATGCCTGCCTGCTCAGGGAAACCTGCGTGGTGAACCCAAGCATCTCCTCACTGAGAGCGCTTAGGAAATGCTTATGGAATGTGTAAAGACAGACAGGTCTAAGCAGAGCAACGTAAACCCAGCCCTAGGAGATGTCCCAGTCCCTACTGACGGCTGCTGAGCAGTCCCACTGGGCCCCTGATAGAACCCTGAGCACACAGGATTAGGAGAATTCCCTGCCCGGGAAGGAAAGCATGAAGGAGACAATGCTTTGCACATGTCTGTAAGGGAACCTGTGTTCAAGCGAACCCATATTTCTTTCTTTTACGTATTTGCCCCTATGAAAGGCTTTTAGCTCCAAACCTGTCCATTTTTCCAGTATTGGTCTAATAATTATTTTTTTCTCTCCATAACCTGTGCTGCATTTGGATCCTTAAGACCAAAGTTAGATTTAACAACTTCACTACTACACTTCTGACCAGGGAAAAAAAAAATCTCCTTTCTTCCGAAACAAACAAAAATCTGTGTAGATGAGCAGAGCTGTAGAGAAGCTTTCAACCTCCTAAAATTCAAATCATAATATATATATTCCAACAAATAAAACAATATCAGGCCTATTTTAGTCTTGACAATAGAACTTTTAATCACTCGAGGGTGGAGGCAGAGCAAGCTATTATCTACCTGCAGTTACACTATGTAGTCATAAACATTTGGGCTTGATACTTCTAGCACTGAGAGCCTGAAGTCAGTGGGAACCTCTCCATTTATATGAAGAAGCAGATCAATCCTGAGAGCACAAGTTTTATTCATTGTAAGGCTAGACCTTGACAAAATAAAGTGAAATATAATTCATAGAAATCAATTGCTGTGTTGATCTTCAAACACTGATGCAAAAATAAATAAAATAATTACTGTCTTGAACAGTATCCTGGTTTGCAGTCTTCAGGTAGACAAAGAGTCAGAAGAAAAGGTCTGTCTGTCCAGAGCATTGTATGTTCTTTACACATGAAGCTCTTTTGAAATCAGTGACATTACAGTCTGGCAAACTGCTAACTTGAGAACTGCATCCAGAGAAACACTGGGGCAGCGTATCAGGGATTTATCTCTTTTGCCAAGTACACTTGCATTGGTTTGAAAGGGAAAAAAATTGGATTAGCTGAAAACAAGATTGTTCTTTTCATAGGAAAGAGAAATGAGAAATTTTCTGGTCTCATCAATGACCTTAAAAGATTTGGGTAAAGAAAATGTATAAACTTCCTGTGTAATTCTATAATGATTTAGATCAGTGACAGCTTGTCTGTCTGAATTCATCCATGGTTATGCTCTACTGGGATTTCTAAAGCAAATGCTGAAGTCCAAGTCAGGGTGGCTGTTATGAAATATTAAAACAATCCACAGGGGATAAAAATCTTTACTACTAACCACCAGTTAAAAACTACATAATTACTGAATAAGCATTTTTTAATGAAAAGTATCTTAAATTTTTTAAATAGTGCACATTTAACATAGAGTGGTATCTCTGAAACAGATGTCTCCTTGACATGTGCATTCAAGCTGTTGGCAGTGACCTTGTAGGGCAAAGCAGTTTTGAAAATTAGCTTTTGCCTCCCAATCTGTGAAAATAATGCTGTAGTGAAGATTTAATAAAAGTCATAGCTTCTCATAGAAGCTTATTTCAGCAAAGTAAACAATTAAAATAATAAATGTCAGCTATTTCTCAGCTTGACAGTTAACACAACACAGCTTTTGCCTAGCATGATGTACAAAACGTATGGGAGGTGTACCTATAATTCATTTTATCTATCTATGGTTCACTTATTATATTTTAGCACAGTGATAAATTAACAAATAACGCTGCAGTTTGCGTAGTGGTGTGGGAGCTTGGGGAAAACCCATCCAGCATGCAAACAGCATATGGCTAAAATAGGGGAGAAAAATGAAATTAGGGAATTTCTGAAGGATTTTGAGCTTTGCAAAGCAAAGGAGGAAATTTGTAACTGTCTCTTGACTTTTATGTTCAGTTACCTGTTGAGGTGGAGCAGAGACAGAAGGAGGGGAGAACAAGGGTTGCACTTTTATTGTAACGTGGCTTTTGCCTGAAGTGCAAAAAGCAGAGGGTGGAGTTACAGTTCTCAGCTCTGTGCCCCTGTGAAGTTAAAGAGTCAGAGGGAAGCTGAGATCACCAGCTCCAAAAGGTGCAGCCTGGCAAAAGGATGTGCTGGATCTTGGCTGGAGTGGAAGCAGCTCAGGGTTGTGCCCGGTGTTGCCACCTCTCCTGCCGGGTGGCGTGAGGAGGCAGCGTAGCCGTGTGTCCCACACTGCCTGCGTCCAGCAGCTTTGCTGAGGAACCAAACCAGATTAGTTGTGTAATTTTACAGTCTGCTGTGGCATTTCTGTGGATGCCATTGCGTTCTGGACTTGCATTGGAGCAACCTTGTTAAGTCTGTGAGAAACAGTAAAATGTGCGGTGTTTATAACCTCATTTTGCAGCTCTGTTTCTGTGAACCCAGTGCAAGGTTCTGAGAGGTTGGAAGAGAATTCTGCTTCCAACCCCAGGCATTACTCATGTGAATGGGCAGAACTGCTTGCTCTTGTCTCTGGCAATCCCAG